CACACACACACACACAAACACACACAAACACACACACACACACGAACACACACACACGAACACACACACACGAACACACACACACACACAAACACACACACACACACACACACACACAAACACACACACACACACACACACCAGTTTCCCTAACTTGTATACCATGCAAGGTGCTGGAGAAGATCGTGAGGAAAAGGCTCGTAGAGCATCTGGAGGGAAATAACTTTGTAACGCACCACCAACATGGGTTCAGAGATGGTAAATCGTGCCTCACAGGTTTAATAGAATTTTATGACCAGGCAACGAAAATTAGGCAGGAAAGAGAAGGGTGGGTCGACTGCATTTTCCTTGGTTGCCAAAAAGCCTTTGACACAGTACCCCATAAAAGGCTGTTAAAAAAGTTGGAGCAACAGGCAGGAGTTAAAAGGAAGGTGCTCCAGTGGATAAGGGAGTACTTAAGCAACAGGAAACAGCGAGTAACGGTGAGGGGGGAGACACCAGAGTGGCGAGATGTCACCAGCGGAGTCCCACAGGGCTCAGTACTTGGACCCATCCTGTTCCTAATATATGTGAACGATCTTCCAGAGGGTATAGACTCATTCCTCTCAATGTTTGCTGATGATGCAAAAATTATGAGAAGAATCAAGACCGATGAAGATAGACAGAGACTACAGGATGACCTGGATAAACTGGAGGAATGGTCTAGAAAATGGCTGCTAAAGTTCAACTCGGGAAAGTGTAAGGTGATGAAATTAGGCGAAGGGAGCAGGAGGCTGAATACAAGGTATCATCTGGGAGGGGAAATCCTGCAAGAGTCAAATAGAGAGAAAGATCTGGGGGTTGATATCACACCGAACCTGTCTCCAGAGGCCCACATCAAAAGAATATCATCAGCGGCATATGCTAGACTGGCCAACATAAGAACTGCCTTCAGAAAATTGTGTAAGGAATCTTTCAAAACCCTGTATACCACTTATGTAAGACCAATCCTGGAGTATGCAGCTCCAGCCTGGAGTCCATACCTAGTTAAACACAAGACAAAGTTAGAGAAGATTCAGCGGTATGCCACCAGGCTCGTCCCGGAACTGAGAGGATTGAGCTACGAGGAAAGGCTAAAGGAGCTGAACCTCACATCCCTGGAAAACAGAAGAGTAAGGGGAGACATGATAACCACATACAAAATTCTCAGGGGAATTGACAGGGTGGACAAAGACAAACTCTTCAGCACGGGTGGGACACGAACAAGGGGACACAGGTGGAAACTTAGTACCCAGATGAGCCACAGAGACGTTAGAAAAAACTTTTTCAGTGTCAGAGTAGTTAACAGGTGGAATGCATTAGGCAGTGATGTGGTGGAGGCTGACTCCATACACAGTTTATAATGTAGATATGATAGAGCCCAATAGGCTCAGGAACCTGTACACCAGTTGACTGACAGTTGAGACGCGGGACCAAAGAGCCAGAGCTCAACCCCCGCAAGCACAATTAGGTGAGTACACACACACACGTCCTGTATATATGTACTTAATCCTTTGCGTCTATGTACTCAGAACTACACATCAACAGTCCAGATTTGACATAAACATTTCCGTCCAATATATTCCACACGAGTCCAGGCATGACCCCAAATAACTAATATTAAGTATAATGCCTCAGTTTTGTGGCATAAATCCTATTAGGCTTATTTTGGGAGTTTGTTTAGAGAGGAGCAGGATTAGGAGGAGGAGCAGGAGGAGGAGCAGGATTAGGAGGAGGAGGAGCAGGATTAGGAGGAAGAGCAGCAGGATTAGGAGGAGGAGGAGCAGGATTAGGAGGAGGAGGAGCAGGATTAGGAGGAGGAGGAGCAGGATTAGGAGGAGGAGGAGCAGGATTAGGAGGAGGAGGAGCAGGATTAGGAGAAGGAGGAGCAGGATTAGGAGGAGGAGCAGCAGGATTAGGAGGAGGAGGAGCAGGATTAGGAGAAGGAAGAGCAGGATTAGGAGGAGGAGCAGCAGGATTAGGAGGAGGAGGAGCAGGATTAGGAGGAGGAGCAGGATTAGGAGGAGCAGCAGCAGGATTTGGAGCAGGAGGAGCAGGATTAGGAGGAGGAGGAGCAGGATTAGGAGGAGGAGGAGCAGGATTAGGAGGAGGAGGAGCAGGATTAGGAGGAGGAGGAGCAGGATTAGGAGGAGGAGCAGGATTAGGAGGAGGAGCAGCAGGATTAGGAGGAGGAGGAGCAGGATTAGGAGAAGGAGGAGCAGGATTAGGAGGAGGAGGAGCAGGATTAGGAGAAGGAAGAGCAGGATTAGGAGGAGGAGCAGCAGGATTAGGAGGAGGAGGAGCAGGATTAGGAGGAGGAGCAGGATTAGGAGGAGCAGCAGCAGGATTTGGAGCAGGAGGAGCAGGATTAGGAGGAGGAGGAGCAGGATTAGGAGGAGGAGGAGCAGGATTAGGAGGAGGAGGAACAGGATTAGGAGGAGGAGGAGCAGGATTAGGAGGAGGAGGAGCAGGATTAGGAGGAGGAGGAGCAGGATTAGGAGGAGGAGGAGCAGGATTAGGAGGAGGAGGAGCAGGATTAGGAGGAGGAGGAGCAGGATTAGGAGGAGGAGGAGCAGGATTAGGAGGAGGAGGAGCAGGATTAGGAGGAGGAGGAGCAGGATGAGGAGGAGGAGCAGGATTAGGAGGAGGAGGAGCAGGATTAGGAGGAGGAGGAGCAGGATTAGGAGGAAGAGCAGCAGGATTAGGAGGAAGAGGAGCAGGATTAGGAGGAGGAGCAGGATTAGGAGAAGGAGGAGCAGGATTAGGAGGAGGAGGAGCAGGATTAGGAGAAGGAGGAGCAGGATTAGGAGGAGGAGGAGCAGGATTAGGAGGAGGAGCAGCAGGATTAGGAGGAGGAGGAGCAGGATTAGCAGGAAAGGGGGGGGGGAAGAGGAGGGAGAGGCAGCCCAGGTAAACCAGAGGGCAGATAAGGACGCAGTTTACACAACCCCAAGGATGCTTCAAGGTCCAGCTGGTCACGTATTAACAAGGTCCGCTCCACTCTGGCAACAAGGTCTATCAATAGCTCATGCACTTTTGACAGCTCCAGATCCACCCAATATATTCCCAAGGTCAGGATACCTCAGCCACTGGCCGCCGTCCTGACGAAACCTGTTTATCTTTATTCCATAATGGCAGGGGGACTTAGTACTTATTTATTGAACAGTTCAAAAACGTCACAAATGATTGTTATGAACATCCTGGTAGCGATTCGCAGCTCAAGTTGTTAAGAAAAGTACACTAATTAGCCATAATTGGTGGGAGATGGACAGGTTTCGTAATAGGACGTTTAGGTTCTTGGTGAATCCTGGTCTGGGTATGTTAGGGGGAGGAGGGAGGGTATGACTAGCCGCCGGCTTTCCGTCCCCTCGCCAAGGGCCACTAGAGATGGTGACTCTCAGGTAAATTCAGGTAAGTAGCTTCCGTTGTGATCATTTGGGGTATTCTGGTATACCAGTGACCTTAGTATACCACAAAGCTGATAACAGTATACCAGTTTACCTCGCCAGGGCAGGTAAACTGCATCCCAGTTTACCTCGATAGGACAGGTAAACTACATCCCAGTTTACCTCGTTATGGAAGGTGAACTACATCACAGTTTACCTCGTTAGGGAAGGTAAACTACATCACAGTTTACCTCGTTAGGGAAGGTGAACTACATCACAGTTTACCTTGTCAGGGCAGGTAAACTACGTCACAGTTTACCTTGCCAGGGCAGGTAAACTACGTCACAGTTTACCTTGCCATGACAGATAAACTATGTCCCAGTTTACCTCGCCAGGACAGGTAAACTACGTCCTAGTTTACCTCGCCAGGACATTTAAACTACGTCCCAGTTTACCTCGCCAGGACAGGTAAACTACGTCCCAGTTCACCTCGCCATGACAGGTAAACTACGTCCCAGTTCACCTCGCCAGGACAGGTAAACTACGTCCCAGTTCACCTCGCCAGGACAGGTAAACTACGAGACCTATAGTATACCGGCTTGGCGCTTTCCCCTCATAATTCCCTTCCCTCTCCAGGATACTCACTATAGTAAACTTTCTCCTCTTTTATGTATATACTGAGCCCAACCACTTGTCCTGGGCGGTAGAGTGACCACCTCACGCCTTGCAGGGTCGGGGTTCGAGCCCCGACCGTCCCAGTGGCTAGGCTGAACTGAATTGGTTTGTGAACTAAAGATTTTCCTCCTTTGATGTTAGACTTAAGACCCTTGTGTGGGTAGATACACAACCAGTGAGGTTATATAAGCATACAACCTTAGAGTATACTTGTGTATGTCGAGTGTGTGTATGCTGGCCACTGTGTACAGGGTGTTCCATAAGTCTGGAACAATATTCCATAAGTCTGGAACAATACCACTGCTGACACAATTCTCAGTGATTGTACAGGGTGTTCCATAAGTCTGGAACAATACTACTGCTGACACAATTCCCAGTGATTGTACAGGGTGTTCCATAAGTCTGGAACAATACTACTGCTGACAATTCCCAGTGATTGTACAGGGTGTTCCATAAGTCTGGAACAATACTACTGCTGACAATTCCCAGTGATTGTACAGGGTGTTCCATAAGTCTGGAACAATAATACTGCTGACAATTCCTAGTGATTGTACACGGTGTTCCATAAGTCTGGAACAATACTACTGCTAACACAATTCTCAGAGTGATTGTACAGGGTGTTCCATAAGTCTGGAACAATACTACTGCTGACACAATTTCCAGTGACTGTACAGGGTGTTCCATTAGTCTGGAACAATACTACTGCTGACAATTAACTGACTGTACAGGGTGTTCCATAAGTCTGGAACAATACTACTGCTGACACAATTCCCAGAGTGATTGTACACTGAACACATCCGCGTCTCAACAATTAAAAACACATTGAATACACTCCGTCCATTAAATAACGTATTAAACAAAACCAGGTTCCACCAGGTTGTTAAGGTTGGCGGAAGAGCTTAGTATAGAGGGGGTACTCACTTGAGTTTACTTCTGTTGGGGTCCCTGGAGCCGACGTAGACTGTGTAGCCTGAGTTTACGAACCTCCTGGAGATAGCCCGCCCGTAGTCTCCAGACCCCAGTACAGCGACCACCTGTAACAAGTTGATTGATTAGTTTGGCTCCCAAAGGTGAGTTTACTGAATTTAACAAAGGTAACTGCAGAAGGCCTATTGGCCCATACGAGGCAGCTCCTATTTAAGAACATAAGAACAAAGGTAACTGCAGAAGGCCTATTGGCCCATACGAGGCAGCTCCTATTTATAACCACCCAATCCCACTCATATACATGTCCAACCCACGCTTGAAACAATCGAGGGACACCACCTCCACCACGTTACGTGGTGATTGGTTCCACAGATCAACAACCCTGTTACCGAACCAGTATTTACCCAAGTCTTTCCTAAATCTAAACTTATCCAATTTATACTCATTGTTTCGAGTTCTGTCTTGTGTTGATACTTTTAATACCCTATCAATATCCCCTTTGTTATGTCCATTCACCCACTTGTAAACCTCTATCGTGTCACCCCTAACTCTTCGCCTTTCCAGTGAATGCAACTTAAGCTTTGTTAATCTTTCTTCGAATGACAGGTTTCTAATTTGGGGAATTAACTTTGTTATCCTACACTCGACGCGTTCAAGTGAATTTAAATCCATATTATATGAGAAATGGTATTATACTGCTGTGTATATTCTCAAATGAAAACAATATTGAACATAAATGCAAATTACAGATACAACTAAATCAATATAAAAAGAAAGCCAGGTTAGACAGGCACAACCAGGTTAGACGGGTACAACCAGGTTAGACAGGCACAACCAGGTTAGACGGGTACAACCAGGTTAGACAGGTACAACCAGGTTAGACGGGTACAACCAGGTTAGACAGGCACAACCAGGTTAGACGGGTACAACCAGGTTAGACGGGTACAACCAGGTTAGACGGGTACAACCAGGTTAGACAGGTACAACCAGGTTAGACAGGCACAACCAGGTTAGACGGGTACAACCAGGTTAGACGGGTACAACCAGGTTAGACGGGTACAACCAGGTTAGACGGGTACAACCAGGTTAGACGGGTACAACCAGGTTAGACGGGTACAACCAGGTTAGACGGGTACAACCAGGTTAGACGGGTACAACCAGGTTAGACGGGCACAACCAGGTTAGACGGGCACAACCAGGTTAGACGGGCACAACCAGGTTAGACGGGTACAACCAGGTTAGACGGGTACAACCAGGTTAGACGGGTACAACCAGGTTAGACGGGTACAACCAGGTTAAACGGGTACAACCAGGTTAGACGGGTACAACCAGGTTAGACGGGTACAACCAGGTTAGACGGGTACAACCAGGTTAGACGGGTACAACCAGGTTAGACGGGTACAACCAGGTTAGACAGGTACAACCAGGTTAGACAGGCACACCCAGGTTAGACGGGTACAACCAGGTCAGACAGGCACACCCAGGTCAGACAGGCACACCCAGGTCAGACAGGCACACCCAGGTCAGACAGGCACACCCAGGTCAGACAGGCACACCCAGGTTAGACAGGCACACCCAGGTTAGACAGGCACACCCAGGTTAGACAGGTACACCCAGGTTAGACAGGCACACCCAGGTTAGACAGGCACACCCAGGTTAGACAGGCACACCCAGGTTAGACAGGCACACCCAGGTTAGACAGGCACACCCAGGTTAGACGGGTACACCCAGGTTAGACGGGCACACCCAGGTTAGACAGGCACACCCAGGTTAGACAGGTACACCCAGGTTAGACAGGCACACCCAGGTTAGACAGGCACACCCAGGTTAGACGGGCACACCCAGGTTAGACAGGCACACCCAGGTCAGACAGGCACACCCAGGTCAGACAGGCACACCCAGGTCAGACAGGCACACCCAGGTTAGACAGGCACAACCAGGTTAGACAGGCACAACCAGGTTAGACAGGCACACCCAGGTCAGACAGGCACACCCAGGTTAGACAGGCACAACCAGGTTAGACAGGCACAACCAGGTTAGACAGGCACACCCAGGTCAGACAGGTACACCCAGGTCAGACAGGTACACCCAGGTCAGACAGGTACACCCAGGTTAGACAGGCACACCCAGGTCAGACAGGCACACCCAGGTCAGACAGGCACACCCAGGTCAGACAGGCACACCCAGGTTAGACAGGCACACCCAGGTTAGACAGGCACACCCAGGTTAGACAGGCACACCCAGGTTAGACAGGCACACCCAGGTTAGACAGGCACACCCAGGTTAGACAGGCACACCCAGGTTAGACGGGCACACCCAGGTTAGACGGGCACACCCAGGTTAGACAGGCACACCCAGGTTAGACGGGTACACCCAGGTTAGACAGGCACACCCAGGTTAGACAGGCACACCCAGGTTAGACAGGTACACCCAGGTTAGACAGGTACACCCAGGTTAGACAGGTACACCCAGGTTAGACAGGCACACCCAGGTTAGACAGCCACACCCAGGTTAGACAGGTACACCCAGGTTAGACAGGTACACCCAGGTTAGACAGGTACACCCAGGTTAGACAGGTACACCCAGGTTAGACAGGTACACCCAGGTTAGACAGGCACACCCAGGTTAGACAGGTACACCCAGGTTAGACAGGCACACCCAGGTCAGACAGGCACACCCAGGTCAGACAGGCACACCCAGGTTAGACAGGCACACCCAGGTTAGACAGGCACACCCAGGTTAGACAGGCACACCCAGGTTAGACAGGTACACCCAGGTTAGACAGGCACACCCAGGTTAGACAGGCACAACCAGGTTAGACAGGTACACCCAGGTTAGACAGGCACACCCAGGTTAGACAGGCACACCCAGGTTAGACGGGCACACCCAGGTTAGACGGGCACACCCAGGTTAGACGGGCACACCCAGGTTAGACGGGTACACCCAGGTTAGACAGGCACACCCAGGTTAGACAGGCACACCCAGGTTAGACAGGCACAACCAGGTTAGACAGGCACACCCAGGTTAGACAGGCACACCCAGGTTAGACGGGCACAACCAGGTTAGACAGGTACACCCAGGTTAGACAGGCACACCCAGGTTAGACAGGCACACCCAGGTTAGACGGGCACACCCAGGTTAGACAGGCACACCCAGGTCAGACAGGCACACCCAGGTCAGACAGGCACACCCAGGTCAGACAGGCACACCCAGGTCAGACAGGCACAACCAGGTTAGACAGGCACACCCAGGTCAGACAGGCACACCCAGGTTAGACAGGCACAACCAGGTTAGACAGGCACAACCAGGTTAGACAGGCACACCCAGGTTAGACAGGCACACCCAGGTCAGACAGGTACACCCAGGTCAGACAGGTACACCCAGGTTAGACAGGCACACCCAGGTCAGACAGGCACACCCAGGTCAGACAGGCACACCCAGGTCAGACAGGCACACCCAGGTCAGACAGGCACACCCAGGTTAGACAGGCACACCCAGGTTAGACAGGCACACCCAGGTTAGACAGGCACACCCAGGTTAGACAGGCACACCCAGGTTAGACAGGCACACCCAGGTTAGACAGGCACACCCAGGTTAGACAGGCACACCCAGGTTAGACAGGCACACCCAGGTTAGACAGGCACACCCAGGTTAGACGGGCACACCCAGGTTAGACAGGCACACCCAGGTTAGACAGGCACACCCAGGTTAGACGGGTACACCCAGGTTAGACAGGCACACCCAGGTTAGACAGGTACACCCAGGTTAGACAGGTACACCCAGGTTAGACAGGTACACCCAGGTTAGACAGGTACACCCAGGTTAGACAGGTACACCCAGGTTAGACAGGTACACCCAGGTTAGACAGGCACACCCAGGTCAGACAGGCACACCCAGGTCAGACAGGCACACCCAGGTTAGACAGGCACACCCAGGTTAGACAGGCACACCCAGGTTAGACAGCCACACCCAGGTTAGACAGGCACACCCAGGTTAGACAGGCACACCCAGGTTAGACAGGCACACCCAGGTTAGACAGGCACACCCAGGTCAGACAGGCACACCCAGGTCAGACAGGCACACCCAGGTCAGACAGGCACACCCAGGTCAGACAGGCACACCCAGGTCAGACAGGCACACCCAGGTTAGACAGGCACAACCTGGTTAGACAGGCACAACCAGGTTAGACAGGCACAACCAGGTTAGACAGGCACAACCAGATTAGACAGGCACAACCAGGTTAGACAGGCACAACCAGGTTAGACAGGCACAACCAGGTTAGACAGGCACACCCAGGTCAGACAGGTACACCCAGGTCAGACAGGTACCCTAATGAGCCACAGTGCCATCAGATCTAATGTTTTTAGTGCCAGAGTAGTGAATACACAGAATTAATGGAGTAGTGACTTAACAGATCGTCGCATTTTGACATACTCTAAGACCACAAATCGTCGTACTAGACAACGGAAGCGGCTGGCGAAAGTGACGTACTGTCCCGTTTTCTGTTTTGGCTCCTCTGGCAGGTTAGGATAAGGGCACTTTAGTACGACCATTTCTTGACGTTGGGGAAACATTAGGAGGGCGGACTGGCTTATTGGGCTTTAGATAGACGGTCCAAGGGATCCCAATCTGGATTGGGGGGGGTGAATCTCCCCTGAATGGAAGAATTAAGATATTCCTTGAGTCTGCAATGCAAGATTGCAAGATTTGTAAGATATATAGTGTCAAGGCCCCTCACGCTTGTTAGTCAAATGGGTAGTTTGGCCTTTCTTGAGGTTATCTTGAGATGATTTCGGGGCTTTAGTGTCCCCGCGGCCCGGTCCTCGACTAGGCCTCCACCCCCAGGAAGCAGCCCGTGACAGCTGACTAACACCCAGGTACCTATTTTACTGCTAGGTAACAGGGGCATAGAGTGAAAGAAACTCTGCCCATTGTTTCTCGCCGGCGCCTGGGATCGACCCCAGGACCACAGGATCACAAGGCCAGTGCCCTGTCCGCTCGGCCGACCGCGTCAATATATCTTTACCACCATTCAAATTTATGCATTCGATATGGTTATGTCATTATATACACGTGTATCGTATGGTCTTGTATACAATATCGGTAT